CAGAAGATGATAATGGTGGTACAATACAACAAAGCTGGCTTAGATGCCTACGTTACGTAATCGTGTCCTTTTAATCCGAGCCGACTTTACCGTTAAGCAAGTTAATTTACCGTTATTCTAGTAAAGTTAAGTCACTTAACTTAAGTGACTTAATTCCTTAAACTAGCTATAATTGAGTGGTTCACGTCGAACTTTTAACTAGTTAAGTGGATGTATATCTAGATAAAAGTTCGACGTGAACCCAGCTAGTGAGATAACGTAATGTTAGTTTATCAAGGGTGGGTTGAGCTAATGATATTGAAACCCCGACCTCGAAGTTGGGAACCGACCATTCCTGCTGTACTGTCAAACTTTTTGAAAAGAAAGCATTTATTATTTGTTAGAAATGTGATATTTTAACAATAAAAGTAGAAGTATACAGTACAGTATATCCTGTAGTTTTCATTTTGTGTATAATGTAGCAAGTTAGTCATAATGTATTTACACTATTAGTCACTAATTTTGGCCAAGGAGTTTAGAGGATTCCCACGTCTTGTGTTGGGCTTGTAGCCCATGGTGTCCTCTTGACCGCACCCCTCTCTGGTCATGAGTTATGATTTTTTTGCCGAATATGTAATGAATATGTAATAAATAAATAGAAGGTTTATAAATGCTGTATATTTATCGTACATACACACTGAGTGGTCAGTGCACAAGATGAACGCTGCTCAACGCCAGAAAGACTGGTGACCCTACAGTACATAAGGCCCATGAAGTTTTGTACTAAATGTAATGGTTTGTTTGAAACCAGGGAAAGACTAAAAAACATGTCTCTGTCTGTGAGTTAATATAGGCATTCCAAGACTAAAGTAAATCTGCTGTGCAAAAGGTGAAAACAAAAGGTCATACCTGTACAGTATATGGAATTGGGTTAAAAGAAATTGATAAGAATTTTTTCTATTTACCAAATAATTCACTATAAATATAAGGACAACACATAAAACAAGATTCATAGAAACAGGTTAAATTTGTTGAATATCAATTTAATACATCTTTTGTAATAATAATATTTGGTTTTGCTCATCATTTTTGTCTATTCTGAAGAGACGGACCAATGTACAGCCAACATGTAATTATAATTTGGAAAACTCAGCTACCGCAGACTATGAACATTACATTATTCACAGTCACTAAAACAATCGCTCTTGAAAACTTTTAGGCAGAACACAATTATCAGCCTTGTTATACATAAAATAACCACATTTCATTGTACCTATTGCCATTTATAAAGAATATACCACTTCGACCTACCATGTAAAGGAACAATGTAGGTACTAACAACCAATCCAAATTCTTTCTTGTTTCATTAAATTTGGCTAGATTCAAGCTAAACTCCACTAGCCAATTGATGGGTAACTGGAAATTTTAAATTGGATTTATAATTGGAACCAATATTTGAATAAAGTTTAGTCACTTTTAAAATTGAATTGAATTTGTATGCAGGTTAGCTGTCGTAGTGTCATGAACACAAGAAGTATGTATGCCTATGCATAATTTCTTCTACATAAATATTTGCATAATTTTGTTTTATGGACTACGTTAGCAGGTAAGAAGTAGCGAGTTCTTTATTAAACCACTGGAAACAACCATGAGAATGTCATCCCATCCTCCAAAATCAAACTAGTAACTGTTCTTCATGCGCCATAATATTATTTGCACTAAATAAAGTTCACAATGCTGATTTATAAATATTTATATACATGACAGAATGTTGTATTCCCTGGTATTTTCAACATGGACACCAAAGTTTATCAACTTACTGTTTTCCTTGTCAATATTTTCGAGCAAACAATGTCAGTCATTGCCGCACAAAAGCGCCCTCAACACAGCGCTACCCTCGCAACAGAATCCTGTGAATGGTTCATCATATGTATGGCAAAACAACATCGATAATAAAAACAGCAGCGACAATAATACTTTGAAAAAATAGCACAAACAAAACAATATACGTAAAATGTGAAAATAATATAATAAAGTATATGTTTAAATATTTAAATAGTAACATTATGATAGTATAGATTAACAAAAATATACAATTAAAAATAATATACAGTTAATAAAATTATGAATACTAATATTAATATAATAACAATAGAGTGCCTAAATAACATTAATTTATGGGACATTATTGACCCACTATTCAATATTAATTATTATTCAAAAATGTATAAATTAATCATACTATTAATCAAATAACTGGCCCTATGAGCTGAGCAAACAAGTTCTTTTTATTTGAAAAATCTACTTGAAAATAATGTATAAATATGATCATGGAGCATACTAGATACATCCTCAACTGCAATAAAAGTTATATTTGAAATATAGCAATTTTTACCATTAATTTTTACTTCTATCGTAGTTAAATTCCCCCCATTTTCTGTAATCCTTTTATCTTTTTCCTTATTTTTTGTCACCGTCTTCTGCCCTGGCACCATGAGCCACTAGTAATGTTATTAATAGTAAGTATAGGTTAAAAAGTTTAGTTTTACACATGTAAAAGATCTTTCAAATAGGTGATGTATAGTGAGGTCACATTCAACGCAATTATAATAACTAAACAATACCATAATATTTGAATAAATAAAAATAACAAATTCATTAAATGGTTTATACAATCTGCCACATGTATATCATACATCGTCTTATAAAAATTAGAGTAGGGTTATGAATTTTCCTTTTTTAAAATACAACAAATATTACAATAAAATGTACACATATTGGATTTATCTTCCAAAAAATATATATAATTTCAATTCTAGTTGAAGCTATTTGCATAAATTTATGGATGGCATTTTTCATTTATTTTTGTTTAAATTTCATTAGAAAAATTACAAGGTAAGTTGCATTATAAATACAGTATAACCTTTATCCAAAAGTTGTATGAAAATCATAATGTGGGTAAACATTCTATTTGTAATACAAGACACAACATATGTATGAAGAGTATTTTCAAAAATAGGAATTGGAATTTAATGCTGTTTTCATCAATCGAAAAATTTAGCATTTTGTTGCCTACATATGCTTGAGAGTATGAACCATATATGAAGTGTTTTTTTAGCTTCAAATAACATTGATCGGTGTATTCTAAATTTAACCATAGCTAGTGGTAACACTGACAAGATTTTCGCCATGTGATTTTCCACAATTGATAACTGTTATATTTACCCACACAACAGAGATCATATTTCATATTAAATATGATCCCACACAATTTGTCACAAAATGACAAGTTGTCTATGCAGGTACTACTGTAATTGTATGGTGCTTCACCAAGGACAAACGCTGTCTAAGTAAACTAATCATACAGATAATTTTATAAAGTTAAATATGAGCATGCTCACATACCCATAGCAACTGCCACTATAGCAACAGTGAGAGCTAGAGGTTTCTTAATAACTTACTGGTTTGTGTGACCACCATGGAGGTATAATGCTTTTTTGGTGTGACAATTATTTACCTCTTGCACTTCTTTCCAACGCTCTCACCCCACTTATTAGGGAGCTTTCGATTGCACGACGCCGGTAGGGCGTAGAACTTAATGACATCACAAAAAGTCATGAGCATGCGGGAACCTTGAGTTTTGCGGTAGCGTGGAACGTAGGATGGTCATGCATGAGTGAATCCGTTCTAGTGTTGCGTTGTCACACAAATCAAAAGCTCCTATTTCCAATGCGTCTTTACCTACTTTTCCCTAATGCCCCATGGTTCGGCAATAGCTTTTTGTTGTCTTGTTTTCACACTTTAAAGTTGTCATTAAATATAAGTATCCTATTTCATTGCTTTTGACTGTTTCTACATTACTTTTAATGTATTATCATAAAACATTATACATTAGCATGTATTCAATGATTCAGCCTTGAGAGGTTGAGTGAATTGATGGTAATTATAGCAATTCTCTCAATACATTCAATTTTTTAGGGAGCCATAGGCTTCCGTTTCTTCCTTTTTCCTGTCCTTTGTGTGTCATTTGACCTCTGAAGAGCAAGACGAAACTCTCTCACACTTGATGGATGTGTAAAAAATGTCATAATCTGCACCTTTCCCAGTTTGGTATCTTCACGCTACCCAACACAATTTTGAAGTCAATGTTTTGAAATACACAACAGGTACTTTAGCTCACTTTTATAGCACACAACCAAATATTGCTCTCAAATGTTTAGGAGTTGAATCACTTTCGTCAATTTAATCAGGCTGAAACAGCTCAGTTGATTGGATGATATAATTTCTCACAATTAAAAATTACCCTAACAGGCTAGTTAGGATTGGATAAAATCACTTCTGGCAATTTAAACTGGCCATAACAGCACAGTTGATTGGTTGAAATCTTTCTGTCAATTTAAAATGGCCATATCAGCTCAACTGATTGTTTGAAGTAAAAAGGTAGGTACTTGTGACAAACCACTTACATCATTCAAGGTGATGGTACCATGGATTTGGTCAAAGGTTAAGAAGAAAACTTTTATAGTCAATTAGGAAATGTTTGCAATAAATAGTATAGATAAGAACAATTAAATATTAGAATACCGAATGTAGGGTATTTACAGTGGCATCGAGGTGAACATTTTTTTCTATAAGTTAAAAACACTTGTTTCAGGCTTGGCTATTGTTCAAACATGTTCTGCAGCACATTTTACGGAAATACTGTCGAGTACAAAAGTTGAATTTAAGAACCAATGGGCAGTAGGCCACTTGATGAGCATCCTCACATGCTGTCAAGAAAATTATTTAAAATGAAAAAACAGTGCAATTAAAATATTTTTTCAAAGCATAAAAATTCACACAAAAGAAGTTAAAGTGTCTTCCATTGTAACTTGCATTTCAGCCCTCCATCTAAAACATGGGAGCAGTGATGGAATGTAATGGTTTAGAGTTCATACTTAGTAACTAGCACCAGTGAGTTATGCTGCTTTCTTAACAGCAGCATGGAAATAAAACATGTCTCTCATTTTTAGGCTTAAAGAGTGGCGATATTTAGGAACAATTTAGATTAGATGTCAACCACATTTAACGTTCATTGCATATTTGGTAGATTAAAATCTATACACGAATTTCTATGTTTTAAAAGTGTCTCATCTCAAAGAGCTGCTTAGCTCAGTCATCTTAATTATTGGTGCACATGATGTGTTTTCTGCACTGAACCTTGAAAAAATGTATAAATCCGGTGGTACCTCGTTTAATTCCAGTGATACTCCTGTTGTGTCTTATAGCTGACATGCATGTGCATATAGCACACTGTTTGTTGGGAAGCAGTGGCAGATCCAGGAATATGAAAAAGAGGGGGGAGGGGGCCAGATAGGTATTTGACAGATGTAGACTCAACTATGGTTGGGGCTGAGTTGTGACATATGATCATGGCACCTCTTAGATGGCCGGTGGGGAGAGGATAGCACTCTAAGACTTGGATTCGTATACCTTTTTCTTTTTTTTTTATTATTATTTTGAAAAATTTCGGGGGACCTGGGCCCCTCCCCTTGAATCTGCCTATGGAAGGAATGTTTAAGCCATTGGTCCAGTGTGGCATATGGCCCTTGTGCAAAAAATATTGAACTAAGAACACTACTGAAAAGGGGATTTTCTCCCAGTGAACTGCACAGTTCCCCACACATCGTTGAAAGTAAGTCTTCAATATTTGTAGGTTCCATTAAAATACCATATGTGTTCCCATCACAGTAATCAATTCCGTGTTGGTATCCGGCGGGAGATAGTTTTCCACCAAAGTTTTTACATTGTTTTGTTCAGGCTGCCTTATTGATTGTTGTTATTGTACAGTGTTTTTGCAGGACCATAAGATATTTTAAATAAAAAAAATAAATAAAAAGTCACATTAATCACAGTAATCAATTGCCTTGAAAGAAAAAAATCCTACTTACGCTCATTAGTCAGATCAGGCCCGCACACCTTTTTACACTGTTCATAGTTACTAGGTTTGAGGTGGGCGCTGCAGTGAGTCCGTGTCAAGACATGACCATTGAAAGACTCGCACCGTACTGATCGCCTTCGCTGGCCTCTTCCACATTCTCCATTACACTATGATTTTTATAAGGTAACATAGATAAGTACATTCAGATGTATGTGGGGAGTTCTATGTGCAATGACAGGGGAGGGGACGGGGATTTGTGTGTGATGGTAGGATATTACATTATTACTTGTAATGTGTAAACCATGTTTAAAACATAAAATAATGATGATGATAATGAAGATGCTATATATGATATATGATACCAATTTACACATGTGATTTGGAATTTATAATAACATTACAATAAAAACTTACTTCACTCCAAGGTCCCGAAATCCACCTGGGTGGTGGGCACCGTTCATTGTCGCAGCTTCTGCGACTTGCCGGCCTCTGACTCCGGTCACACATATTATCAGGAACGGCATAAGTATTACTGTTGATATTTAAATTACTGCTCATACATGTCACCTCTCGAGTCTGTATTCCTGGGCCACACTCTGGTAAACACTGTCAAAGAAAAGTTCACAAGATTTCATAAACCATGAGAAATCTACACACACAAAACATGTCATGATACAGTTTGTTCTCCAATTTGAGACTACCTTTGGGACCTGATAATTTGGGGTGGTTGCGGGATTCAGTCTCAATATAGAGGTTAGCTAATAGTGTTAAAAGATTCATTTGGTTCTTTGAAAAGTGGTCTAGAAATTGAGAAGTCTCAGAATTAAGGGTATCTCGAACTAGAGGGTACTAAAATCAATTAAAAAAATAAATAAATGAAAGAATGAACGTTTGGTTGAGTACATCCAGTGGAAAATGTATTACTACGGTTGTTTAAACCACTTTTTCTACCACTCAGTATATTACATTGTTCATATACATTACAATTCACTTTGAGTTGATTTTGGAAAACATAGGAACAGGTGACAAAAGAAAAGTACAATGATCTGTAATTATACCTTGAAATGTTAAACTACAGTAGAGCTTGGTACATCCTCACCCCACCCCCACAATAATTGACAGTTGGCAACAATGCTTGACATTCGGCCCTGACACTTGATAATTTGTTGCAAGTGCTCACAAAATTTATAAGCAGGTAACATCTGTCATGGCAACGCCTATTTGTAATAGTATAGCCAGAAATTAAGGCCATTCATAAATTGATTGCGTAGGTACCTCATATTGTGTACCACTGTCGAAGCCAAATATGAGAATAGATCACGTACCATATCTAGACTAATATTAGAGATGAAGTTTTTAATGAAAAGATGAAGTTTTTAATGAAAAAATGAAGTTTTCACGCTTTTAACGAATAAGCTGACTGTACCTCTGTATTAAATGTTAGATGAGTTAAAACACCGTGGTGGGCGTGGCCCTTCTAGTAGGCCTATTTGGCCCCACCTCAAAAAATGTTAATGGGCCCCTCAACCCGATCAGTGAGTATAGCTACAAGGCTGATTAAATGCTTACACTGATGCAATAAAGCAAACTATCCTTTACAGTTTTCATTTTACCATTACAGCCTAAGATCATAAATATTACTATATATTTTAAGCTGTTTATTATGAAAAATTGAAGAAAAAAAATTAATTCACTTCAATACATTTGATCTCATTTTCACTTCTAAATAAACATTTTAAAATATAAATATGTAAATGAGCATATAGGGATTGTGTTTACACAGCTAAAGCTAAACTTTTTGTGATGTTTGCCATGGAAAATCATTGGGAAGTATTTATTTTGGAGTACTCCCTCAGAAGGCCTATATCAATAATATTCACTGAATGTGAAGTATAGGTTATACTCATCTCAGAATACTGTATTTCTAACAGAAGCCGCTACTTTAAAAACATGTTAGTTTTTATCAAATACCAATTGACTGCCACTTACAGGATGGAAGTGGTGAGTACAAATTAAGTCCTGGGCTTAGGGAGTAGACTTGTTTTGACTTGTGACAAAACATCCTGACATTTTACAAGATTCAATTCCATGAGGATTAAAATGTGAGCATCTCAATCACCCTGTGACATAGCTGCTTAATTAATACCGATAGTCACAGTTGCACTTAACCACTACCGCTATGGTGTACTTAACCACTACCACTATGGTGTACTTAATTACTACCATCACGGTGCACTTAGCCCACAAGGTTGTAAATGGCAATTATTCATCCTACACTTGAATATTGTAATGTAGTTCTTAATTTGCTACATTTTAGAGAGGAAGACTTGTTTGCGAAATTTCTAGAAAAGTGCAACTTATTCCTTCTATTCGCAAGTTGCCTTGCCTGATCATTTAAGGGTTCTTAAATTACCTACACTTGCGTACAGGTGACAAAGAGCACTTTTGTTAGAATTGTAGACTTCAAATGGTTTTGACAATGTTTCAGTTTAGTTGAATCTTTATAGCTCCGATGAGTAGCTCTAGAAACACTTGATTGATTAATAAATCTTTTTTAGATCTATTGCCTCTACTTTACTGCCCTCATGAGGCTGATTGATTAATAGCAAAGATCTTATAAACACAAGATAGCGTTCTCCATGATTTACTCGTAACAAATAGAAGCGTTGGTCAAGGTTCAAAAGTTTCCAATTTAGCAAGAGGGCGCCATTCATGCGCAATTATACCAAAGAGAAAAAGTAATTAGTTCTGGAAGAGGGCGTCCTATCTGTTGCCATGGATCTGAGATGGTTCCTGTTCTGCTGTTCATGCACAGGATTGATACCGCGATGTATGGTATGGTCAGAGCGGTCAAGGGTCAAAAGTTTCCAATTTAGCAAGAGGACGCCATTCATGCCTTATTACAGAATTTGCACGCGTAAATCGCGGAGAACGCTATCTTGTGTTTATAAGATCTTTGATTAATAGTTGATTAATAGATCTTTTTTAGAACAACTGCCTCTATTATACTGCCCTCATGAGGAGCTCTAGAAACACTCGGCTGATTGATTAATACACCTTTTTTAGCTCTATGAATTAGATACTTGTGGGCAAATCAGCACTTGTGGGCATTCTTTTAAATTAAAGTTTAAGTATTCTTGCACAAATTGGATGAGGAACTCTTTCAGTCAAAAAGCATATATTCTTTGGAACTCCTTATCTGATTCAGCTGTTTCTGTTAAAACCCTTAATGCATGACAGGGCATGATCAACCCATTAAAATTTGCTCCATTTTCAATAAGTGATATTATTTTCAGGAGGGGCTTATAGACAGAGCCTAGCCTTTACTCCAGAAATTGTAGCGTTCTAGAAACAAGTAACCACAACTATGGTGCACTTAGCCACTACAGTGCACTTCATCACCACCGCTACAGTGCACTTTAACCACTACCATTACAATGCACTTTACCACTACTGCTACAATGCACTTGACTTAACCAATTCAATTCAATTCAAAAGACATTTATTTTCGTCCATAAAAAACACAACAATAAAAGAGAGAGCAAAGTACAATGCAAATAAATAAATTAAAAAAAAAATATGGGCCAAGTACAGTATTTTAAAATTAAAATTAAAATGCATATTCCACTATATAACCACTACATCTAAAACAGTGCACTGAGCTATACGCTATGATTAACTTAACAACTACTACTGCTATGGTCATGATGTCCCTGACCATTAACTACAGTACTTAATGCTAATCACAGTTGTATTGTCCATTTATGCATAAACCTCAAATTAAAATATAATATTAAAAGTTAAACTTAAAAAGAGAATGTAAACAGTACCTTAGACCACACGCTGCTGACCCATTGCGGTGGGCACACATTCGTTCCGCAAGGTAACTCTGATATAGGTTTGTGTGTCATGCAATGACTCTCATGCACTGACTCTGACTCTCGGACTGTTACTTGTGCCATACATGTGACAAGACGGTGCTTAACGCCACCATTACATGTCTGGCTACATTCAGACCAATCACCGATTGACCATCTAGGGGGAAAGTAAACAGGAAAAGTGTTGTTTAACATTGAATAACAACTACAACTACTACTGCAAACATCAAAATCAACAACCACAAAAACTATATAAAACATTGTGAAACAACAGCAAGTACAACAATTAAAACAAGTACTACTTATATCAGAAAGGAAAAGACACAAAAGAAACAAAAACAGCAGTATGAACAACAATTAAAACAAGTACTACTTATATCAGAAAGGAAAAGACGCAAAAGAAACAAAAACAGCAGTATGAACAACAACACCTATAAGAATAACTATTAATGTAATATTATACAAAAATGGAAGGCTGGCACTGTGGTGTAATGACAATTCCTGACCGCCTGTGCTTAGCTACCACAGCTTTTAATTTTGATGGTCTGTGAAGTGGTTCACATATGTTTCAGCCCTAGGTGCAGGCATTTCATGGCTTATAAATAAAATAATTTTTAAATGTATTTATATATTTATATTCTAATGTATTTTGAATTATTTATATTCTAATGTATTTTTAATTATTGTGTACAAATCAATGCAATTCAACTCCTTTTGGAAGTTGCGAACATGCTTTTTAAATAAACTTGAACTTAAATGTGTAACCCCTTACCTAGAAGTGGCCTCCATGGCCTTGTTTAAGGTGAAGGCAAATAAAAAAAAAATAACAACAAGGATTAAGTTGTGTACAAGAATTATATTATGGCAGTGAGGATACACTACATATCATTCACATTTTATACACTCTTAGATGAAGAAAACTAATTTAGAAAAAGTATCTTCTGAATGACCCAACTATTGCTAGTTGATAGAATTCAATGTTTATTAGCACTGCTAGATGAGGGAAGAGGAAGGTTCTCTGTTACACTTCCCCATGTTTGATGTTTACCTCAAAATACAAAATTCTTATCATCATACATATTTGCCTAAAATATTGTTTGCTGTAATATTTTAAATCAAATTACATTTATATATATTAAAGCTTACAAAATATTAGCATTCAATACATGACAGAAAAACACTTTATGTAACCTGTCTTCTTCACGCAACTGTGTGTAATAGCCTAGATAGCAAATGCAAGAGTGAAAAATAACCAGCAAGTAACTTATGAGTAGCTTACTGAGGCTGACAGCGTTGTGTGTTACAGCTCTGTCGCTTCACGTTCGGTTTCACTGCTGGATTGCAGAAGGTATCGCTGACAACGCTCTCATCATCTGACTTCTTGCATTCAATTGATGCTACCTTCTCACCTACATCAAAATTCAATTGCAATTAAATAAATTTAAAATCTTTTAAATTCATTTTTGGCATGTGGAATATTTTGATATTTTTTCAGGACTGAGAGAATAATTCATGTCCTATTTGCACCTGTCAACCCAGGAAACTTCATGATGGTTCAACAATTACTGCATCTCACTATTGGAGAAGGGTTTAGAAAAAAAAAAAGGTTTAGAAAAAAAAGTTGTATCTTTTTAGAATGTCTCTGGCCACTTGGTGATTTATTTATGCTTCTTTGTTTGAAAAATATCTAATAATAAACTACTAAATATGTATAATATTACTAATTTGAGCATCAACCAAATATTTGCAAAAAATGGACAGACAAGGCATAGCTGGTACCGGTTTCCAGGGTAGCTCAGATAGGAAGAGACCCTTAGGGGAGAAGAAAGTTATTGTAAGACCTAGTCCACCCTCAAGCGCTGTGAGACTTTGGTATAAAGCGCTATATAAATCCAACTATATTACATTCAATGTGGTAAAATTGGTTAAGTATAAATTATAATCTGAACTGGTCAACACAGACTAAACTGGCTAACACAGTTCAAAGGTATCGCATTCAAAACGCTAGTATCAGATGAGGCCACAGCTTTAATGGAAGTGATTAATTAAATTAAATATCCCACCAAATCATTTGCATAATGTTCCTTCTGACCTTTTATTTATAATGGATGCTCGACTGTAATTTCATCAACCAATCTCTAATTAACAGATTTTTTTTTCATAGCATAATGATTATAATTCTTCCATCAAACTTTAAATAATATATAATTTCTATTTCCAACCCTGGAATCCAATAGACTTTAATAAATTACATGTAAGCTAACCCTTGACCTTTGTAGCACAAACCAAAATACTTACCTCCGGCACATGATGCTGAGCACTCTGACCATTGGCCAAGTCTCCAGTTGAAGCTCACATCATCGTGTGCAGTTGAGTTGGGGGTTATTGGAATGCTGTACTCATATTCCACACCATGATTTTCTTCCTGTACTAACAACTGAATGATAAACACACAACATTTGCAAAATAACATTACAAGAATATAGCACTGTTTTTTATATGTTGCATATCAGTTACTACATAGACATAGTTTCTTAAATATTAAAGAAACAAGTTTTATACTATATTTTTTATACAAGTTGTACTGGTCAAACCTCTCCTTGTGGGAGTAAAAAGGCAATTACCAATACATCATCATATTGCAATAGATAAACTAGTTTTATCCAATACAAGTTTTTTTAAGAGATATATAAATTGTAAAAAAAATATATTAATGAACAATAAATGAGATGACTTGTCAATAACAGGATGAATGAAAATGCATGCCAGCAAAAATGAAATTATAATTAATTGCATCATGAAGCATAGGAAAGTTATTCTAGATAAATTAAAGGCAACAGCTCTGTAGACACACCTTTATATACAGTATGTACTGTGAAGTACATTTAAAAAATGTGTTCTTAATTATGCAACAGCGAGTGATTAACTATGAGTCTTACCATCACAACAGTGACAAAAAAATTAAAATCAATAGCTTTTTCAACTGACACATTGTATTGCGACATACAAACGTTGCACTCCAAATGAAAAGGAGTTTTTAGCGAAGAGAATAGGCAGTTTTTGACGCACGACGTTAACCTTAACTCTAATGTTAGTACCCAACATGCAGCGCAAGCTCCGCCCCTTAAGTAAACAAATCAAAATACGTATGCGAAACCCGTAACTAACGTACGTCAAGCACGTAAAATCCTGAAATTAACATACTCCACAACGCAAGATGAATAAATTATGAAGTCATCCGTTAACGTCGTGCGGCGAAAACTGCCCAATAAATCCTGGTGTTATTCGAACCCAGGACAACAACAAGATACAGTCCACATCATTTTATCAAGCATTCCATCTTCTGAAACAAGGTCAGTGTGTGGTACCTGACCTGTGACATTATAAAACATATAACATTTTATGAAACTTTCTAACAGGCTTACCATGACAACAATGTCCTTTGTAGTAGGGCCGGCTGCATATAAAGACTCGGGTGCATCATTAGGTCGTTTATACTTAAATAAAGTGCCAATGATGTTGAAGGACGTTGGCCAGAGTATTTTCCACTCTCCATTAATGTAGTATTTCCTTGAATTTGCTGATTTTAATGCTAAAAGAACAATAAAAGTAATATGTTAATATATGGTGGTGCTACAGCTTTGTGTTGCCAAGAAAATGACTTACTGTTAATAAATCTGCTAATCCTCAAGCCTCATATACAGCCAAAATTATCACCACTACCATCATCATCAAATTAACCATCATCATTACCACTACCACTATTATCACCACAACCATCACTGCCCCCATCACTACCACCACCATTACTGCTGCCTTAACCAATTGGCCAATCATCAACCAAGATTTGATTCTCCTGAATAAAAAAATCTTCACTCATTGTCAAAAAGCTTCATACTAAAATTCAAGTTTCACACTATGAAATTGTGTGTGACTAATAACTGTGATATGCCCATATTTGGGTGTAATATGACATCATCATGCCCATATATGGACACACCACATAAAGTTTATAGTGTGGATGAAAATCAGAGAATCAAAGTTTATTCCATCCTGTAGGACAGACAAAATGTAATGACATGTCTAATGCACACATTCTCTGAAAATTACCTGTTACTTGTCCATATGAGTGGATAATGTCATATCACACCCATATAAGAACAATCGCAGGTACTGTATTTGTCAAATAAAAGTGTGGAAAAAGCTGTTAGTAGTGAAGACAAGCAAAGCATCAAGACAGCCCCTTCCCCCCTTTTAGCCGATGTCTGTTTGAAAACAAAAGGAAAATAATTGTCATGACACATCTGCATCGTCTGGAAATAATTGTGATTGATTCAATTGTGAAGAAGAGATAGAATATGAGTAACCTCAAGAGATAGGTGTGATTACCTATGAATCAGTTTGCAAGATGTCTGCAGGTTTAATTTAAATGGCAAATAAAAAAAAAATCATGTTTAAGTCCTAAAAACCTCAAACATTCTATTAAGACATTTAATTGCTCATTCAAAAGGATCAAATAATTTCCATCATGACACAGACAAAAGCAATTCAGTTTACATGTGATTTATAGATGTACACTGACCTTTTACTGCAAAACTACTTAAATTAATGAACTACAAACAGAGTATGTAGAAGGGATACAGTAATTGGAGAAAGTACATGGACAATTATACTCTTTATGAATTTATTAAGGGGTGAAGAAAATATTGTTGAGTTCTCATTTTTAATTAAAAATTAACTACCTAATAGGTAAACAAAGCAACACAGGCAGCATCGTTGGTTGTAATTATCATGCTTTGCCCAAGTCTGACTGACCAAAATCTTGGAAGAGTAGGTCTGAGTGTTTTAATGCCAATATTATTTTTATTATTATTAAAGATGAGCCTAAAAGCACCTGTATATTATAGTTTTTATTAATACATTTGCTACCTTCAATATGAATTATATCTCTATACAATTTGACCAATCAAAATAGAGTGAGAAATGGTAGGCAAACATGATCAGAATTACCCCCTAGTATAAGTTAATTTTAACATTACAGCTCATAACCACATTGTCTCTGCATTTTACATCAAATTATAAAACAAAGAGCAAGAATATAACAAAACAGCAGTATCAATTCACTTAGGAATATGTTGAATAAAAGTGAATTAAAATTAATAGAGATAATTTGACAAGGGACGTAATAGACATGGTTTCAATTAAACCAGACATTGCAAACTATGGACAGCAAACTTAAGCTGTCAACAGAGGGCAGTGCAGTGCACTGACCATAGACACAGCAATATCTTGAGTAGTTACCAGGGACAGCACTATGACCATGATGGACTGCAGTATGAACAGCAGCCAATAAGAGGCTTATAAAATCACATGAATCTGGTCATTTTGCTTGGCAGCAGCAGAGACTAGGGCACAGGTAGGAAATGTCATGGTTGGCATTTTGAAAGTGATAACCATGTGCAATACATTACATCTGCTTATAATTCCATTGTATTAGTCAACTTGGATGTTGGTATTATCTTGTTCAAATCATTCATCATGTAAACTGACTGCTTGTTATAATTTGAACAGTAGCCTATTTGTTGCTGACACTTCTAAATCTGTCATTAACATGTTCAGGGAATTGGGAGAGCTGTCAGTAACTCAACCACAGTCAACAGTTTCCTTCTGGAAACAGTGATATAAGGAAAGAGAGAGTGAAGGAAGACAAAACATAGGGCCATATGGATCCCAAATCTACCAACTTTAGGAGGTATATAGTTGATGTTTCTCATGTTGTGTTGCCTAATATTTTACCCAAATTCAATGACATTCATGATATGTCATACTTTTACTCTATCTCGTACTGTCTACCACAGTAATTAAAAGTAGATGTATATTTGTCCTTCAGGCAACTGATATTTAACAGAAACACTAATTTCCGCTTTAAAAAAACTAGCGGTAAACGAGGGACAGGAAAAGAGACTAATAACAAAATGGCTTGCTTGCAAGTCACCCTGGTAATATCGGCAATGTACAAGCTGCATCTCTTTCTCTGACTCATGTATAGCAGAATTGCTATACATAGCAACAATCTACTACACACCATTAAATCTACAACATTTGTTTTACTATCTCTAACAATAATTTGAAATAATAAACGTTTGCTATTATAATTATTTAATCTAATTTGTGTTCAGTCCAAGAAGTTAGAACAATAAACTAAAGGAAAAAAAATCTTGTTTTTCAGCCAGCTGTTTCAGGTTGGGTTGCTAGTCTCTCGATATTTTTATCAGGAAATCACTCTTATTTTGGGGTCTTGTATTATATTTTGATATAGTTAGATATGATTCAAATAAAACATGACCATTCTTGAATAGAGCATTTCCCTTCCCTCCACATCATTTCAAGTGCATGTTCAACTACAAGCATAACTTTAAAAAAAAACAGAATTCCTTGATTAAACATAAAAACACACTTGTTAACAAGGAATAACTAATTGTTTCCATGACTTCCTTATCCCTAAACAAATTACATTTATTTTACAATCATATTCCCTAAATTTGTCACCTCCTGCACAAAAATAGTAGCCAAAAATGTACCTTAAGTGACACTGAAATGTCACCAGGCCCGGGATTTATCAATCTCAGCTTAACAAATGTCTTAAAGTCAAAAAAGTTCAGATGTCCCTAATAAATATCTTAAACTGATTTATTACCCAATCTTAGCAAAATCTTGGCTTAAAAATCGTCCTTAGATGGCGTCAACATACAATTGACTTTCTAATTTTAAGCAATTTTTAAGCTAAGCAATATGGATAAATTTGACTTAAGCAAAAAAATGGACTTAAGACCAATTTAAGCTGATTTCTAGTTTGATAAATTTGACCCCAGGTACATTATCCATGAGAAACTAAATAAAAGACACTTGTCTCATATTTCAAAGACAGAGATATAATTGAATATGGCTTGTGTAAAGATGCTTCAGAAACCCATCAGACTGCTGTTGTTTTTGTGAGGTACGCAGCCTCCTCTGACGATTGAGTGTGAATCCAAGAAATGACCTAAAAGGAGCGTCCAAATGAACCTACCTATTTACATGCCCTTCCTTTCGCAGCATATATCTGCAGCTGTAGTCACTGTCTTGTTGTAATCATAGAGGAATATGTACACAAGCAACATACAGATCATTTCTTCTTGTGCAAATTTTATATTATTGATTGTATGTACTGTATGTGTTTTTGAATGTCTTAATAAAAATCCATGAGTGAATTAAATACAGCAATATGCTGTGGTTGTGATAAAATAATTATCTTTAATCTGGTTGGTTAAAAAATACTGACCTTTAATACATTTTGTAATGTTTCTCTTATTAAAACCTGTGTAGTATAACGACTGCTCATTGTCTTGAACCTATGCCAGGCTTTAATTACTCTTACCAAGGCCTTCATTCCAGGCTACAGTATGATATCTATAACAAATTGTATTATATTCTCGATCATGGCCACATTAATTTGGCACTCATCCTAGCCCAGGTGGCCTGATCTTACCTCCATAACCTCCCTCATCTCAACCTATTATCCCACAGTTCTATCCCAGCCTATTACCATTCACCCAGGCTCTATCCTTGCCAGTGTTTTACCCTTTGTCCAGGCCCTCATCCTATTCCATTACACATCACCCCACTCTGCAATGTGCTACTGCACGTTTAAAATATTTCCTAAGCTTGGAGTATACATTGTTCGTGACGGTATGATATTTTTGTAGTAAAAAAGCAAAACCATTATGAAAGTGCATGACAGCAATTTACAGTAATGTCATCTTAATAAAGTATCATCATCACTATTTAATCATCATCATTAATTAGTATAACTAATATTATTATTAATTAGTATAACTAATATTATTATTTCTCAGACCTTCATCTCGGTCTACAGTGCCTCACTATAGTTCCTCTTTCCAGTTGATTTTTAGTTAACTACAGTACCAATACATCAGCTACAGGAAATTAAAACAATTAGACTTCAATGTCATTTTCTAATCCCTAACTCCTGATCTGACAAAAACTATTTAAAAAATCACAATCCACTAGATTCTCAAACGAGATCAGTTTTGTCATTAGGGCTAGCTTCAACCAAGCTATTTAAATCATTGCATTAGACTTTATTCATTTTTAAAATAGCTAGGAGGTTCCAAATATATATTGCGTTTTAATGTGTATTGGGAGATTCCAGTCTTCACAAGGGCTAGTACCTGATTTTACCTAAACCAAATCAAATCTGTATCAATTACGTACTGATATCTACAAATTTACCAGTGATCAAATTCATAAATAATAGTTATGGAAATCATAAGAAAAATGTTATAATTCATAAAAAGCACTCAATCCCTAAATCAATCAATCGACCAATCAAACAAACAAATCAAGGAAAACTATCTATGTGTTCATTAATTAACTGATGAACGAAGAGGATGACTCTTGATTGTAGCTGAACCCACAATCTTGATTCAGGCCCGTAACCAGGATTTTTAAGGTTTGGGTGAACTCCCAGTTTTTTGATCAATTTTTTTTCGCTTAACTATACAAACACGGATACATTATGTAAAATGAGTGAAATACAGCACTTAAATTGCTGAATCACTTCAGCACCAGGGGGCTTAGGCACCCCTGCCCTAGAGGAAACCCCCTTCCCATGAACCTGGTTACGGGTATTGCGACAGTACCTGTACCTACCTAAGAAACTGCCTGACATTTGTGATTCCTGTATGTAAATGTTAGTAGCTCCTGCGGGAATACTAACAATTTCCTGGTAAGTTCCATGATCCATTGCACGATCCACTCTTCCACTGATAGTTTCGCAGGTACTTCCATCACCTCCGCACACCTGGCATTTATCCATCTTCATATTGGAGTTGAGAAGTCGATCACAACCAACCGGCTACAAAAATCAATCAATATTTCAATAAGCAGATCAATAAATGTATATTATTTACAGTAGAAGTCACAAGAACTTTTTTGAGGCACAATAAATAAATAAAATGAAAAACTATAATTCAGTTTTGATTTACAAATACCAAGAGTCTATCACAAAAATCAATAAATCAATCAGTAAACAGATCAAAATAATACATGTATATTCCAGTTTTGATATTACCATAAAAAAAATAATAATAATAACATGTCACAAAATTATCAAGACATTCATTTTTCACATAAAAAAATAGACACTACTTGATCAAATCATCTAATTGCATGCAAGATTTAACAACTCTTACTACTCTTAAAGGTTGGTGCTCTTTCTCTACCTTTACCCCAGAGCAGGACCCTGAACCTTGAATATTCAGTACTCAAACTACCATTAAATCAATATCCATTCCCATATTATGAGGCATATTAATTGCTAAATTACTCAAGTATGTATGAGACAAGATCCTGGTAACATTAAACGAGACATTAACAGTTTCATTTTATTTTCGGCTGTGCCATTGGTTGTCACTTTCTGTTTAGATTATTTAGTAATTTCAACCTCAATTAGGCATTACAGCAAAACACAGGTGTAAATGAATAGAATTAATGCACAAATACTGTACAGTATTTCTAATGATCTGAGAGAAAAGGGTGAATGAAGATGAAAGAAACCTAACTGTTCCAGCCCTAAGGAATACTCAGACAGACAATTATAGACCAAACAAATTCCACCTTGGTCATTATTATTATTTGATTTGTGAAAGTCTAGACCTGGAATTTAAATCAGAAAACCATTTAATTTTCTTTCTTATTTAGACTATGTGACAACAAATTGTTCAATTAGTTTCAGGTTAAAAATAATTTTCCAAAAAATGCGGAAGAGGCATTGCTAGTAGAAATGATGTCGCAAGAAAATCTCTTGAGATGGATATGGGTGATGATATAAATATTATAATATAATTAAATTGGAGTGACAGCGGTAACATAAAAATGGAAGCTTTAATTTTGCAGTAGTGTCATATGATGAAATATAGTTACATGAACCACCGGCTGGGGAAAAATACATCTAAATTCCTATCTTTATTATTTTTTTTTTTGGTACCAGCATATTATTAAACTCTCAAAATTACTAAACACTCAAAATTATCAAATTAAAAATAACTAGATATTGGTGAAAATATGGAAACCTGTTGAGTATATAATTGAAGAAAGCATGGGAAAAACACTGAAAAAGAAACAATATCACTCTTACATGACATCTGCCATTAATGCAAACATCCAACGATTCCTTATCACAACGCGTTCCGTCTACAACTTGTGGTGACCTTTGAACAAAAAACTTGGTTCCCACTGCAAGGCAGTTGAGTGCACATACATTTAGGTTGTTGTTGCGTCCCTTTCGACTAAGATACGGCTTCCAAGTGTAGTAGACAGGTTTGGAGCCAGGAAATCTGGCAAATTTTTTGTTGTCGTACGCAGAACATTGCATTTCCCTGAAGTCTTTTGAATTACTCGGACAAGGCTGTTTAAACGGAAACATTCAAATTAATATTCATTTACTTGTCTGCATTTTAGGTCATTACTTCATTTGTTATGTTCCTAATAACTCTAAGATTAAATAATTCATGTAATAACATCAACTTCAAGAAGTAGGAGTAGAAGTTCCCTTGTTACTGTATTTGCAGTTGTCATGTTTTTGAGGACTAGGTCAACCATTGTTACCATATTTACAGTTGTTATGTACTAGGTCATTGCTTTCTCTTGTCATTTATTTATTTGTTAGCAAGTCTGGATATTAATGATGATATACACTACATCATAGCAAATCACAGAATGAACAGCTCACAATGGTACAATGTCACAAAGTATTATTATTATTATTATTTTAAACTTATCATATCAATCTTCCTTATGTCTTCAAAATAACACCCATAAAAAAACTCTTAACATTCACTGAAGCATACTGTATATAAATTAAACAGGTATATACAAAATTATCATATATTATAATTATTAATTATTGAATTGCACTACCAAGGCTCAAGTACAAAATTATAAATTTCACTAAGAATTAATTGTTTATATGTTGCACATTGTTCCTGAATATATTTTACTTACAATGTCAAGGGAGATGGTTATAATATAATGTTTTAGGGACAACAATTGGAAGTCAGTATTTGATGTAATATTAAGTAGTGGGATCTATCGCTACAACAAACAAATGCCAAGTTTTCACCAACTGTTTTATGCATTACTGTTGCTTACAGACAGAATAATTCAGATATGATCATGCCAACATCGTAGCTCTTATTTCATATAAGTCGTAGCGGATCTGTTTGAGCATGTCCTTTATTTCATACTCTTTTGCCAGTTTTATATCGTTACTCATGAATGAAAAATGTTGGCATTGGATACATGCGATGATTAAAAGAAACAGGGGAAGAAATTGAGAGACTCTTTAAAAGACATCTGAAAAATATTTCTGCAAATGTACGGTGACTGTGAGAATTTGTCCATTAGGGACAGCTGACCTGAGAATATTGCTGACCACTTTTTTGGTGTCAATCATAATTTATTGATGTTTGTATCACTGTTGATGCATGTTGATATAAGTTGTATATTGCATGGAATAAATGTAATCAAAAATAATTATAAAATACTCACATCAATGTTGCAGGAGCGATATTGCTTCCGAAGACCTAAGCAAAAATTACCACCGTGCCGTGGACTAGAAAAAATAAATAACTAGAAGTCAACATAACCAATACACATCAATACCATTCTTGCTACTGTAACTCATAATTTCTGTCATGCCAGGCTTCAACTGTCAATCAAAATACTCCTTCCAGTAAAGGAGAAAACCAGTCTGTTATAAGGCCACAACATTTAAATTAAGAAACTTGTTTAATCACATGACTATCCATTCACCAGGATAGTCATTGACAACCGAAGGTATGATCAAAACAAGCATGCAGAAAAACATGCCTAAAATTTAATAAAAGGTGTCTATAAAAAAACTAACTTTACTATATCAGATAAACACTGGGTCAAAAATACATTTAAAACACTTATTATCTTCAATTACAGCAAGGTTTAAAATAATTATCCAGCTTAAAATAGTATTTAAGTGTTCAAGAAATGTAGTAACATATTGTCAGCTGTCTTTAGACACAACTAAACTAACTATAACGAATCACCCTAAAATTTAATTGAAGTCCAGCAAAAGAACTCTTCTATATCAACAACGGAAAAGCCACCTATCTATTATTAGCTTATAATTGATTTTCAATTCATTAAAGATTCTGTCTTTTACAACAGCAGATCTAACTACAATATAAGATTAAAATGAAATTAATGTTTTAAATCACTAACAAAAACAACCCTATGTATATTCTATTTGATATATGGAGATATATATAGAGAATATTATAATATGAAGTTTCATCTGGCAGTAAGCTTACATCAAATTGTGCTTGGTTTATTATCAATGAAACAAATCTACGATAAATAATATCTTTCATCTTGTAGCATGCCTGTATTAAGTGTAAGCCACATAATAAATGTATAAAATATAATTAAAGAATTATATTTAATATATTAGTTAAGCATTTACATCTTCTAACAATCATACTTTGAAGTGTGATGATATAAGTTCTTGGCACTGATGTTGACAGGATTTACATATTCAGCCAAAGTATGTATACAGCCAAAATATTAATATCATCTGAGGATTTTCATTTGAAACATGACACAACTACTGCCAACAACCACTTGTGGCTATTATTTGAAATTCTTATGTCTCTTTGAACACACAAGCACAATAATTGTAGCAGAACTACTGTACAACTGTACAAGTTTGGATGACCTCCACTCACCGTGGTGAATCACAGCGTCTTTCCTTTGTAGATATACCACCATCGCATGACCGGGAACAGGGGCCCCAAGCCCCCCACTCTCCCCACTGACCATCTACAGCACCTGGTCGTGTACCACTTTCAACACAGTCCCCTTGATAGCACCACTGTAAAGAAGAAACTGCTATTATACATTTATATTCCAAATAAAAATACAATGAAATGAAAAGTTGGGTAGAAAATCTTTTTGACAGCAGGTCATTATGGAATTATAAAAATGAATCAATTAATTAATGCAATATCTATTTGAGTAAGTTTGGCATAAATTCAAGGTCTCAATTTATAGGATTATCCCAGCTTCATTCTAGGAAAACAATAATTTTTTCCTATGACTGATTAGACTCCTGCATAACCCTTTCAGTTATGTTTTTATGACAAATCTGTGGTGGTCCATGATCATCACTACCTAGGCCTAGACCGTAAAATGAACAAAGGTTAACTCACAGACACAATCACGAGGAAACCCACATAGAGTAATGCCATCTGAGAAAATAATATATTCTTTCCCAAACAAGACTTAAACATTCTCAAAGAATCTGGCTTCATCAATTTGTTGATTTGAAACTAAACGAACTACACAATCGAACGTCTCCTCTCTGCACAAGGCGTCACTCCTGCTCATTTACATAGACCTCCACTCGAGTTTCAAGTTACGTCTCTACTGCCCCCAAGGCATTTAGAGTCAAATTCTGTTTCTCATCAAGAGGTTCAAGTGGTTCTTGTCAATCGTTCAAAAATATAATTTTAATCTGTTAGGGTATCATAGTTGTTTAATAGTTATATATTAAATGTACTTTGTTTGGCTTCATCAATCTGTTGATTTGTAACTAAAACAATTGCACAAGATTGAACCTTTCTCCCGCTCATTTACATAGACCTACACTTGAGTTCAATTTACACTTCTACAAACATTTTAGGGTCAAATTATGTTTCTTATCAAGAGGTTCAAGTGCTCATCAATCACATCAAGATACAACTTAAATTTGTTAGGGTATCATAGTTGTTTAATAGTTATATATTAAATGTACTTTGATAAATGTATGTAAAAACGATCAATTTACTAAAATACAATCTAAAAAGGAGTCAATCTACATCAGAAAAAAACACAATTTGCAAAGGAAACATATAAATAAAGATAAACTACTTGATTAATTCTACAACATAATTGCTACAACAATCAATAAATCTAAAGAAAACATTGAACACATTACTTGAACACTGCACAACAAAAATGAACAACTTTAAACGATTTTTAAAATGTAAATTTTGACAAACTAAATGTGAGTGTAATTCTTCCAACAATTAAAATCTGCAGGATTGATGATTTTCATTCTTTGAAAAACTTTTCAGTAATTAAGAAAATAATTTTCTTTCTTGTCCTCCATCAAATTGACATTGGATATATCGGGTGAGCTCTGGGGACTAGCTGCAGACAGAGTACAGCGACAACCGACATGTAAAGGATACAATGGATACAAACATTGTCCTTTAGTCTGCCTATGTGAGGGTTATTCAATAAGTTGAGCAATCAGAGCCAAATCCACACCAACTTCTTAGCAGACTACAGATTCTTGCAATAAGGTGCAAAAAAGAGGAATGATACCACTTAAATCACATGTCGTACAATGCAATTGCTGTCTACAAAAGGTGTTTATGACAACAGGTGCCTGAAGATTCAAGAGTTTTTTTATCTGCATGACCAAATGTCTGACATATATTCTTACCTCATTAGTAACAATTTTAGCAAAATTTAGAAATTTAATACATCAAAGAATTTGCCTTCCAAGATTTATGAAGGTACATGGGTTGATGTGTAGTTGTGGCACAGAACAACACAGACAAAGGCAAAACTCTGCTGCTGCAAGTGAATGAAGGAATCTAAAAATATAAAAGGGTTGCTACTACTAAGCTACTACAGCTCTAAGAATCTGACTTGGACTATTTAAGCTTAAATGATCATGTTGGGAAATTTGGCGAAAGTGAACATTTGTAAATGCACAGCTAAAATGCAAGTAAGAAAACAAACTATGATGAGAAAAGCAGAATGTAATGCGAGAACAACTATAAAGCATGGGGAAAAAAAGCACTACCAGGATTAAAACAACAAGGGTGGATGCATGGAAACTGTGTGGCATTCAAAATGGTGGACAGCGCTATTAACTTGCTACAGCTTATGAAACGCAACACTCGGGGAGGAAATTACCCTGCCGTAACCACACTTCGTGCCATCCATACTCGGTTTATTGTCGTACTTGCATCCATTTAACACGGTGGGAACAGAGCAAGCGAGAAACTTGCATTGATCAGGATTCTAAAAGAAAGGAAAGAGAAACTTAAAATGAAACGTATAAGATTACAATTAGTATATTTAAATTTGATCACCTACCCCTTGTGTAACACTATCAACACCCAGAAGACACTTTGTTCCCTCCGTAGCAGGTAAAAAGTTGGTGATGCAGCCTCGGCCTTCTACAAAGCAATAAAGCTGGCTACAAACTTTCTGGAAGTAGATCCCCAAGCATTGATATCTTACAATCATTGAGTAACAAATTGTGAAATTATCATGTTTTATCAATTCTAAGCAACTGTTCATTAATCCCACGGTGGCATATTTTATTGATTGGAAGTAAAATTGCATGAGCAGAAAGTGAATACATTTTTATCACATGTGAAAATCATTCAATCATGTGGTAGTATAATTCTCTAGGTGTGTATTATATATATATATATATATATATATATATATATATATATATATGTGTGTGTGTGCATGTGTGTGTGTGTGTGTGTGTGTGCCTGTTTATCTTGTCTAATAAGGCAGGCCTTATATTAATTTATATAATACAGCAATTATAAAATCTCCCCACCAGAGACTTCAAGACATTGAGATCCTTACCCCCATTCGACAGTGGCTGGCACCTTCCCCATACTGCAACCTGCACTGCTCATCTGCATTGTATATTTCTCCTGGCTCCCTCCGAGGTTCCGTTTGACTCTGGACAACAATGTGCGGGATTTTTAAAAGGCAATCACCTTTTCCTGAACTGGAAATACAACAAAATATCATTATTATTAATTAGTACTGAAGAACATCATTGTTAAACATCATTTGATAATGGTAATAGTAAATATATGTTTAATTAGGTTCTGCACACTTGATTCTGCAAACAAATAACACATCTCTTTTAGAGGTGGAGGTATTGTATGCTGTGCAGTATGTATGCTTGCTTTTGGCTTAGCATCAAAGAAAATTGAGTTGAGAGAGACGAGACTCCCTCACGTCAGGCGTAGGGAGCAATCATATGTGGAAAATAGTGTTACGAAACTGAAGGTCAGAACCAGAAAGAGGGAGGCCCAAAAGGAGGTGGACTGACTGTGTGAAGCAATCTTTCTCTTTAGGGTTCATTGATTCATGGAATCGTTTTCAAGAGGGAAAAACCTTGAATTTTGAAGAACTTAAAAAAGTCATATAAGATAGTATAATACATACTCCAAGTATCGAAATGCACGCCATCGTGTCGGGATTCAATATTTCAACATTAATTATGTCATCATCAGGAATTCCTGATGATGACATAATTAATGTCGAATTTTTGAATCCCGACACGATGGCGTGAATTTCGATACTTGGAGTATGTATTATACTATCTTATCTGAGATTAATCAGTGGACACTTTGGTTTTAAAAGTCATAAAAAGACACCTCCGAAGTCAGGAAAGCTCATTTCCCGCCATCTAGGAATCAAAATTTCCCCGGGGAGAACCCCCAAATCCCCCTTTCTCTTTGGAGTTTATCAATTCATGGAAAAAAGAACATGTATGCAATTACTCATTTTTTTTATGTATATATACACACATAACAGGCCTATTTACTGTAATAAGAATAAGAAAGTTTGCCTGGCTGTTTTCAAGAGGTGGAAAATCTTGAATTTTGTCATTAAAAGACACCCAGCTCAAAGTCGGGAAAGCTCATTTCCTGCCATTTAGAAATCAAAATTTTCCAGTCCCAACTTCCTTTTTGGGGTTCTTGTGAATAATTGTGGCCCCTACCCCCAACCTCTAAAATTGAACCCATTCATATTCCCATTCATCTTACTACTTACACATCTAGATGTGTATAAGAGACAGCCGTTCCGCCAGCCCTGTCGAGGACATGAAAGCATCGGGGTTGACAGATGAGGATGCAGTAGACAGAAATATGTGGAGGACTACACCGACAACCCCACAAAGTTGTGGGAATTAAGCCTAAAAAAGAAGTATTAGAAGCGAAATGAAATTATTTGAACATTATGTAAATGATTTAAAAGTTGAATGCTAAAGCTTGCCAGAGCATCTGGTTAACGGAGATCATGTTGCTGAATCAATAATTGGTATCATATTTACAATTGAATATGTTCATTCATCCATGGAAAAATATATAGCTCCATAACACACTGTGCTTTTGATCTTTTTTGGAATTGGCGCCATATATATATATGAGATATTTATTATTAGTATAGACGTATTAGTGTTATAGCTTTGATCAAAATTGTTTTCCTTGGGATCCAATTTCCTATTTTGTATGGAAAATTAAATGTTGACTAAGATTAGAATCTGTGTGTGCAAAGGGGTGGAAGCAGGGAAACACTCAACAAATTTAAATATAGTCTTGTCTAGTGTCAACATTTTCAGATCAAATTACTGCTACTTATAATTAATCAGTCATGACAGGACAAGGAGGCACAGTCAGCCTTGGCCCCTTACATTTATGTCTGTGAATGCCATTTTTTGCCATAGGTGCTATACAATTACAAACCTTAACCCTAACCATAGGGGAGCTGCGGTGGTCTAAACCCTCCATCTGTAGAAGTCCCTCTGTGGTCCTCCTTGTTTTCAAAATCATGGATCTGCCATTGCATGAACTCACAAGAGATATCTATATGCTTTTTTTACTTAGTCAGTAAGCATAATAACTTATCTCAATTTCCTATTTCAATATGATGTAAACCATATTCTTTATATCTTTTTACTTATTGTATTATTACAGGACACAGTATCTTCCCTATTTATTTGATATTATACTGTACTACTATGTTTGAGTAAATAAATTATAAATATACTAACTTATCCTAAGTCTTTATGAAGTATATTATGACATATTAAATAGTAGGATATATTGCTTTATGCCTTATATAATTTGTTATATATCAACTACAATATTATTATAGGGCAATATATTGATGTTCGCTTCAAAGTTTCACAGACTACATAATGCCACCAATTTGGCCAAAATGTTATATTACTATTATTACTTTAGCATGAGTAAGCTGTTACTTAGATTTGGGACCTTTTGCAACTTAAGATTAAAGTTAATAGGGACACAAGGTATTGTTTAAATTAAATAAACTTACTCAAGTAATTTGGTTAGGTATTCTTCGCTGCAATGTGACCAGGAGAATGGATCGGAGTCTTTGTGAAAGAATTTTGCCATCAGTTTGGCACTCTCCCCAGGTTTACCACACTTACTACCAATATCATCATCATGGCCGTCATGCTGCATACCAAAACTATTAGGGAGACAAATAATACAAACAAATATAATTAATATTTTTTATTTAATTTGTCATTAATTTATTTGACTCAAATGGTAGAGTAGTTGTGTCAGTAACAGAGCACCATTTTACAGATGTGTCCACAAATCTTGCAAACAATTGATACATGATGAAATATTACAAAAAGAGAAAAATAATACCAACTAAATTTACAGCTTCAAAAAGAGATAAAAGGGTCAGAAATACAAATAATCATAATACTTATATACTATCAGACGTATGTATATTTATTGATGACATCTTATATTAAAGTAATTTCTCATAGTGCAATTTTGTGTGATATCGTGTTATTTCATTTGTGTGGAAAAACAATACCAAAAAACCCCAAATCCTTATTAGTAGCGTTAACAATAAGATCATTGCTATCGCCACATGTCTACTTATAACTTTTGTATTCTACCCAGTGGTGGCTCCAGAAATTTGCGACGAGGGACCCGACATGAACAGACAGCAGCGCAGGGTTTAAACCAAAAAACCGACGAGCCTCAATCAAGGTCCCGGAATATAAAATCCTGGCAGGGTTCATGGGGAGAGTTTTTATGGCTTAGTAAGGCCCAAATTGTGCTTTTAGAAAAAATATTAGAGATTGGCAATCAAATAACGTTTTGGATAGGCAAATTAACATTTTTGGTCTGACATCATCCTTGTCCTGTTGTTGGACGACGGGGGCCCAGGCCTTTCCAATAGAGGGGAAATACCCTCCTTGCCCCCTGCTGGCGCCACCACTGATTCTACATATTGATTCTTTGAACAATTAAAAAGATAAAAACAAATTAGTAACATACTCACTTATGACCTAATTCATGAGCAATTGTAAAAGCTGTTCCTAGCCCAGTGTCCTCGTTTATACTGCAGCTTTTGGAGGGAGTACAGATCCCTTCAACCGGGGCTAACCCTGCATAAATAACATACCTAATTTTAACATTATTAAACATATAATAATAATATATATATATATCAAATTTAAAAACAAAATTAAATTCATAAATTTAATCTATATGCTATTATATTACAGGTCCAGTATTCTCATCACTTGTCCAAACTATTACATTATATTTGACAAAAACAACATGTGACATGCCTAAATATATTCATGATGACATCATATCACAACCATATATAGACATATCATGACCATATATGGGCATAAAACTGAATTTTTGTCTAAGAAAATCTCAACACAGCTTTACAAATGGACAGAAGTTTACAATCCATTAGGAGTGCAGATGTTCAACTAGCAATCAGATCCCAACGTTATTATTCAAGAATCAAGGAGACTACAGGATCTACAAGACTTGAGGTTTCAAGACTCCAGTGTTCTTGAACTTAATTGAAGAATTTAATAAGAAGGAAACAAATTATTAAGAAAGATAACAGGATGCTAAGTTGAATAAAATTGGTTATAATTGCAGGTGACAGGAGACGACTTCTGAACAGTTGGATATCGGAACTATACTTTGCAAACTCCAGTCCTTTGACATGCTCGGAAACTAACTGTATCTTTATATGTTTGATAAATAAACAACACATTTTATGATACATATAATATATAGGACAAATATGAAAGTTCATGTGGAAACTAGCTAAAGTATACAGTAGTTTCATACAGTATACTAGCCAATGGGCAAACTATGTAATCTTTAAGTATTTTTTTAGAAGAAAATACATTTTTTTTCACCATTCAAGTAAATTTAATCAAGATAAATTTAATGAAATATATAATTAATAACTGAAATTTTGAACAGCTTCTATTTTTCTGACAATGGGAAGATGATAGAATGATGCAAAAAGAATAATTTAAAATAAAATAGAAAAATAATATCAATTATCACATGACAATGAAGTTCCAACATATAATACTAATCAAGATTTTTTTAAATTGATGTTTTGAAATGTTAAGAATAGACGTGCAAATACTTCAAAGAAAAAAAACATCTAGAAGTCTAAATATTTACCAGAAAAAATTATCAAGGAGATTTGCAGAAGAAAAAAGGTATATATACTTATATATTTTTTTGATGGAGAAATTCTGATTAATTGCATATTATGTTGGTTTTTTTTTTTTTAAATGCATGTCTGCTATACTTTGAGAGGTTGGCAGTATTGTATAAAACATTTTAAGGTTAATACATGTGTGGTTAGCCATAAACCAGGAGCACACTGTGTCACTGACAAACATAGGTGGCACCAGGATTTCCCCAAACGCGGGAAGGGGCCCGAGGTCCATGACAGGGGACGATGTCCCAATGACAAAGGGGAAGATTTCCCCAATGAGAGCAAAGTGGGTGTGGTCGAGTGTCGCTTAAAATGTTTTGAAAGTGGTCCAGAGGGCAAAGTCCCCGAAATTGTTGACAATTTAGGGGTACAAAATACATATAATTTTTTTTTTCTCATTGATGAACTGCAGTTTTTTCTCCCAGTCCCCCTGCTGGCGCCACCCCTGCTGACCAGTAAAGTCCAATCCATGTGAGCACTTGATGCTGCTATCCCATCTACTTGTAGTATTCTAAACAGGACATCATTGAAAACGATCCATTGTGTGCTGCTTGTCACATTGAGCTCTACAATGGAATTGCGTCGGCAATGCAGTGTGCACCTAGCTTATTAGTTAGTGGTAAACAAGCCTTCTTACCTAGTGTATCGCATGGCTCATTTCTAAATCGACAGATATCATAGCTGTATTTTAGCAAAAGAGAGATGAAGAAAATTAGTAGGATGATCATATAAAACCAAAATCAAGCTGAACAATACCCAGGCACATTATAAAAGCAGTATAATCCTTTAGCCAACAAAAATGAACGTTGCTAGGCTGAACGTTGCTAGGCTGAACGTTGCTAGGCTGTTTTTCTACTACAACCAATTATGGCTGAAGATATTTAACTCACTGGTCCCATTTGAATATGTGAACAAAATTTGGGCTGTGCCCTATTCCTGGTGGGCAGTTGGTCTGTATGCTATGAGACAACCGCCTAGTATTTTCCGATGAATGTAATGTATTCATACACATAGGCCATGTTATTTACAGGATCAACAATTTACAAGGCTTAAACTCTTTGAAATGAAGGTGCACTATCCTTAACTCCAGGAAAAGCAACTTCATGGAATGGACATTTCCGCTAAGCCCCTCCCCTTGGATGTTGTTGCTAGGTCCCGCGTGAATTCCTGGGCCTGTTCTGATTGGTCAATGTTAAGTTTGATTGACACTCCGGAAAGGTTGTCTGTCTTCTACAGAATTGGTTGACAGAGAATTTATTTTGTAATTTGCCCAATTGCCTGGTATTGTACTGTTTGACATACAAATTGCAATGATGGTTTTTAGAAAATTATGATAGTTATTATATTATATTAATAACCTTAACCTTGGTTAACAATAATTGTAGTATAACATAATGATGATATTACACGTTATGCATTTAAACAACATTTTAATATTATTTAAGTAAAAACATATTAGGAAAGTGAAAAAATTCCTGTTAAGTTAAATGAATGAAATTTTATTAAAAAGAATAAAAGTACAAACAATTTGTTACATATCCTGAGGAACTGACAACCAGCCAAAATTAAGACCTGGGAGAAACAAATAATTTGCTAATTTCAAAACTGACAAGTTTCTTATTTCAACTACTATCTAAATCCCATCACTTTCCTGTACCATTTTCTAGAATCTTAGCCATTTGCTTATATCCACTCCTTCAAGAATCCAGTACCTTTGATTATCTACCCTCTTCTCTAACCCTTTCATTATTTATAAAAGAGATGGGGGCGGATGCAGGATTTGGCGGTAGGGAGTGCGTGCAAAAATTTGAAGAAATAGTTCCTGTAGATGGCCGGAAATGACACATTTATAATAGTAAAATTCATCATCATCACATCACTATATCATTATATAGTCAAAATAATAATAAAGGCATGCGCACTCGAATCGTGTATGATAGGTAATTCAGATGTTTGTGGCCAGAGTATACCAGTATCTTGCTATAAAATAAGTACACTGGCTGTAGGTCTACCGCGCTCTTTTGTTAAAATACAAATCATTCATGCAGTTTATTTTAACAATTTTCAGGCATATTAAAAAGTGGGGGGACCAACCCTTTCCTCTTAAAAATATGTGGGGGGATGACATGTTCCCCTTCCCCAGAGATCTGCGCACATGGGGCCGTGAAGATTCCACATCACATCACCATCCATGTTGGGGGCTGAGGCACAAACATTTTGAGAATAGGAAGCTCTGGGTGCCAGGAAATTGCACTCTCACACCTTAAAAATTCACATCAACAATCTAATACAACAATTATTTTTCTTAATAGAATTTAGGGTGGTGCGACTGCACCCTCTGCATCTGCCCCAGAAAGAGTTAGAGAAATCTACTTCTTTATCTTGTCCCAACGCTGATCCACTCATTTCAGAATCCAAAATTTTTACTCATCTACCCTCTTTCAGAATCCAACCCTTTTGTTCATACACCTCTTCCCAAATTCCTAAAACTCCACCCATCCCAGAACCCAACCGCTTTAAGAACTTGACCATTACTCATCTTTACCACCTTCCAAAACCCTTTACTGTACATCTACCTATACTAATATTCAAAATCTAATCATTTGCTCATTCACCCCTTCCAGAATTCAATCCCTTCATTCATCCATCAGGTTCCATGATACCTCTTCGCTCATCTATACTCATCCAGAATTCCTATTATTTACTGACTCTTTCCAATGTGTATTATAACTCTTGCATTTTAATAATCTCCTCATTGCCAGGGTCCACTGTAACCATAAAAAATACAAATCTTCCCTATTATTATTATTATTATTATTACTTCCTATTTATTGTTCAAAATCATTAAATGTTATAAAATAAAAAATATTGCTATATATAAAATCTATTGTACTTGGGTATAATGTAATTATATTGACTATACAGCAAGATGCACCACGTCTATCCCTTTCACTAGGTAGTCTCAGCAAAGGTAGTCTTTGATGAAGTTCTTCCTTCTACTAGGCACATTCTATAATACTTAAGCTCCAACAAGGTATTGACTTTTCTTTTTTTTTCAACACAAACACTATTAATACATGTTAGGTACATTTTTTTTTTCTTGTATGCATTTAAATATTCATAATAGCAATGTAAGTTTTAACAATTTTATAACCCATGTTAAGCACCAATAATGATGATTTGGAAATGTTAAGCAGAAGCCAAAGCTTAAAATGCGCACAGCTAGATTTGCATAAGCTTACCTAACGTACCACACGGCTTGTTCAGGTCTATGCAAATATCATATCTGTAAACATAATTGCACTTCATGTTTTTGAAAACATTATTAATCTCAGTAGTTGTGTCATGTTAATCACTGACATTATTGTGGTTATATTGTACTTAAACATGCAGTAACTTTCCTGAAGAACAAATGAAGTTTTAAATATTAAATCACCATGCCTGTGTCATATATCTCACAGCACACAAAATAATCATAAAAAAATATTTTCATATATTTCTTGAATATTAGTTTAATTTCCTTACACAATAGTGTTAATCCACCGTTTATTATATAATTATACCATTTGTTACTTGGGAAAAAATTTACCTGGCATGTACAACCTGGGAATTGAATATAAGAACATGTCACTTTACAAATATGCTACACAGACCAATCCACTCTTCAACAAAGAATGCCTCAAGTTGGGTGGTGACCATCAGACAAAACAAATCACATTTGTAGTCTCACCTACCCTACGGCCACATAACTGCTTGTCCCTGAGAGGGACAACTTACTTATTGTTTGATTGTTCTTTTTAGAACATACAAACATCGCAATAAATACAAGACCTGACCCACATATCAGCAAATTGAGCTGGGAATAAAGTTAGACATTAATTTAAAAAAGAACCCATGACAAATCATGAAAATGTCTTGCAATTGCTCTGAACAATCTGCACACAGTAATATCATACCGTAGGCTTAACTTGAACGTGTCTGTTGTTATAAATTCAAAAATGTCAACAAATCAAGAAGTAATCTCAACAGAAATTGTTTGGGGCATCATGGAATTAACATCCGTTGAAGCTCCCAAGAAAGTGGATTTTGTAACACATCAGTACTTCAAACTATTAGAGACGTCACATGCAAACTTATTGAACTTTACACTGAGTTGCACAGACTGGTATGCTGACAGTTTAGGAAATCTATATTAGTATTTGAGCCAATTTCTAAAACTTTGGTTTTTAGTGGGTTTTTAACTGCCAAACCAATAAAACCAAAGACTGTAAATAAAGGAAAAACTGATTGTTGATTGACACAATATTCTAGGAAAAATCCACACCGCTGCATGTTGGCCAGGTACCCTAACTTTGAGTTCAGTGACCCAGATTTGAATATTTTATAAAGTACTTTTCCCTTCATGTCTGTTATTACAACATTAAACTAGCTGACATTTTTAAGTGTCTGTATTTGTTAGTATAGTGGCTACAGTTCAGAATATGTTAACTTGATATCATAAACATGAGTCGAAGACCTGTCTGTTACAAAAAAGAAAAATCAGAGACTAAGAGTAGACAATATTATTTTGAACACAGGGATTCAAAACCTTGCAATTCACTTTCACTAAAGATATTATCTAAAAAAAATAGATAATCCTCTGAGGATACAAGATTAATGACAAGAAGAAAGGTAGAGATGAAGAAAGACAGGCAGCACATATTATTCATACTTATTTATTAACCATTATGTGTGTGTCTTGCGGGGAATGGTAAAGACATGTCTTGACAACGTTCTAATAAAGAACGAAACGTAGAATCAATTATGGCCTCACGTTTTCATTCTTCGAAGTCACCATGTACTCATGTTCTATTGGGAATAATCAGTGGATCCTTTGGGTTATGCCTATACAACAATGTAAATAAGGCAAAAAAACAATGGCAGAAGACAAACAGTGGCGTATCTAGGGGGATGTGTATGCCCCTCCAAAAATTACTCACGCTAACCCAGTCGCACCCCAAAAAAATTAACTAAAATCACCTTATTTCGTAAGTTAGTGCTCCTCAACAGATTATCGAACTCCCCCCCCCCTTCACCTTCGCGCCCTCATCAGCACCCCACTTCAAGACTTTAAGATATGCCACTGAAGACAAGATATACAGAGTTAGCTCTGTCTTTTTACATACATAATGATAAATCTTATTTATTTTATTAATCAATCAATTAGTCAATAAGCTATCACTAAATCAACCAACCATAAATGTGCATAATTTATATAGCAAAATGAACCATACACATAATCTTGTGTTATTGCCATTATTAGTTGTCTTTAGTTGAAATTAAAGCTCCACATTTCAACTTAGATTATACTTTAGGAAGGCCCTACGCCTAACTGAAAATATAAGCATCCTGATCAATTATTCCTGTGATTGGCTGAGATGCAAGCTCATTTACATATTCAATTGTAAAACTGGTACATGACCACACAATTATGCCACACACTCTAAACTAACCTAATGCAAGCTGGCAACTTAAGGATAATGTGGTAACTGGATGAATGCCTTGTATACATACAAACATCTCACATAGGTACAATATTTGCTGATTTAAGCACCATGGGTCAAAGAAAGGTTTGTGCACTTCTGAATGTTAACCGCAAAAAGAGATACAATGTATCTCTTGAGGGTATTGAAAGTAGTGAA